CCCCAACATTGGCAGTCTTTAGAAGGAGCTTGAAAATGTGGATGTTCCAGTGTGCCTTCCCAGAATAAGGAAATCCAAGCAATTTGTCCTAAATGCACTTTACGAGAGATTTAGGATTGTCTGCACGCCCACTTATACCTAAAATATCCATCCTATTTTCCCTGGACATGCCCAGCATTTTTAAAATTTTAATCATTACATTTGCATTAAATGCGTTGTGATATTATTGTTATTGTTTTGCTTTGTTTATGAGTTATTTATTGTTGTATTGTTGTATTGTTGTCGTTGTCTTTTATTGATGTATTTGGGCTCGGCCTCTTGTAAGCCGCACCGAGTCCTGCGGGTGATGGTAGCGGGGTATAAATAAAGGATTATTATTATTATTATTATTATTATTATTATAGTGTGGTTTTACTAGGCTTGGGTGATCAAGAAAAAAAATGGTTCTAAACCCGTTTCGTATATAGGGGGCGCTGGCGTTTCAATTTTGAAGTGATTTCTGAAATTTTCTTGAAAAAAAGGTCGGAAATAGCAGAAATCTGAATTGCTTCGCTTGCTTCGTTAATGGAAGGTGCCCCTCCCTCCAGAACCATTAACTTTGGCAAAGTCAGAAAGCCTAAACAGTTTTAAAATCTCGCAGTTATTTCTGAACAAAAATGTGTTGTTGGTTTGAAAAGCATTTTCAATATGACAAAACCCTGGGTGGCGGCGAACGGCGATGGATTGCAGAGCCGCCGATGCAAAGAGGGGCGTGGCCTTCAGGAAGAGCTGTTCTTAGCCACGCCCACCTCGTCCCTCTTTGCATCGCCGGGCGTGCAAAGCCACATCCGAAAATAATTCCAAACAATGGGGAAGTTGTTTCAGTTCGGAATTGCTCCTCCCACTATTCCTGCATGGCTCGAAATTGGATCAAAATTTAATCCGAATTAATTAATTTAATCCGATTTAATCCGAATTAATTACGATTTTAGAAGCTTACGAACAAACTTACCCAAGCCTAATAAATACTGTAAATAAATAGTAAATACCGTATATACTCGAGTATAAGCCGACCCAAACAGGAGCCGAGGCACCTAATTTTACCACAAATAACAGGGAAAACATAATGACTCGAGTATAAGACGAGAGTGGGAAATGCAGCAGCTATTGGTAAATTTCGAAATAAAAATAGATACCAATATAATTACATTAATTGAGGCATCAGTGGGATAAATGTTTTTGAATATTTACATAAAACTAATTTGAGATAAGACCGCCCAACTCTGATTAAACCATTATTCTAAACTACTTCAATGTAAATGTGCTTACGTATCCATCCAATAATAATAGAGTAAAATAATAAATGTAATAATAACAATAATAATAGAGTAAAATAATGGAAATGTAATAATAACAGT